CCCCAAAACCCCAAAACCCCAAAACCCCAAAACCCCAAAACCCCAGCTCAAAACAAATAGTTGAAATCCTTTGCAGCTAAAAATATTAGAAATAAATTTATTTCCGATTAATAGACTTTAGACGGATTCTTTTCTTTTTGTTTCTGGATGCACTATTAGTATTCTTACTCATTCTTCCACTTTGATTATCACTCACTGATTTTTTACTTGACGATGAGGAGCTATGCCATAAGTTAATGAGAGCTGAGTGATTATGATATATTGGCCAGCAATAAAGTTCGTAGCTATTTTTATTAAACTAGGTTTTATTCTTAACTAGACTAAAAAAATCTGACGATTCTTAATCCAATATTGCCCATATAGATTGAATATGAATGTATGCAGTGAGATGTTTCACCCCAGTGGTGGATTAATGCAAAAATGGGATACCTTTCTTCCTCATTTTCTTGCTCATCGATATTAAATATATTATTGATCTGAGTCAGAGTCATACTATACTTAAGTCCCTGACTCCGATTAGGCTTTTCTCTCACTGGAGGAGGTAAAGGTAGGACCTGGTTCAAAGGTTTTGGATCTTTTTCTTTGAAAGTACTATCTCTTCGAAATTTAGAAGGTCTCCGCTCACTATCCTTAACAGCTTTAGATGATTTTGTCTTTTTCTTCGGCCTTTTACGATCAGTCTTGGTTAGAAACTGCTTTCTCATTTTGCCAATCTTAGAAAGTTCTTCCTTCAGATAACTTTTAGGAGACATTTCTCTCATTCGAGTTGCTTTAGATTTCTTTCTTCTTTTTATTAATGAAGGTCTGAATTTTCATCACAAATATTACCGATTAGAACCAAATTTGCTTGCATTTGGCTTTTTATTAGGCATGAGGTTATGCATCTGATGAATTTTTATTCTATCTGCCATTGTTAATGATTTCTTTGGTCCATGGACATCTTTGATCTCCTCGTTCGTCACACTATAAATCATTGAGGGAGGGACCAAACTTAGATCGAGCAATAGATTTTTGGGAAATTTCACTCTTGTTCTGAGAAGGTGTGTTATTCTCACTTCTTTCAATTTGCACTACATTTTATACACGAGTTGTTACATTTAGTAGGGATTTTATTAGACGAACCATCTTCGTTTTCAAAGTCGTCTATCGAAGATACACTACAGTTTAGCTGAACATTCTACCTTGAAGTTTCCAGTGAGTCATCCTTAATGTCTAAACTAATAACTTTGAGTATGCTACCTTCTTCATATTTGTCTTTATCGTACTTATCCTCTTCGATTCTGTGTTTTAACTTAGGAGGTGTTTTACCCTGTGGGACTGACTGAGTCTTCTCCATCTATACCAATCATAGATTGTTAATAATTGCAGAATACCTTCAACCTTCTCTGCCTTTGCTTAATTGTCTTCTTAATTGAGTTTACTCTGATTCTAGACTTCGTGCTTGAGAAATTATTGAATGTGTTGTTGGTGGTAGAACTGAATTTCTTGTTCGTGCTAACCTTCTTCCTTATATTTGCCATATTTTGGATGGTTCCCTATATATTTAGTATTTGCAATACGCCTTTGAGCGGTGTCAGTTTGACATTCTTGATCTTATCTTGCATATTTACTAACTTTCTCATCTTATTTAATATCTTTCGCTTTGGAAAGATCGAAGGTGATTAATTGAGAATTCTTAAAATTTTTCTGGAGTCCTTGTCCTGATTTCCTATTTAAGTTAGTAGGAGATTACTTATTTTATTTTAGGCCTCCTGGTATTGTACGAAGGATTATTTTGCACCATTCTACTTTTCTTAGTCCGAGGTGGTTGTGGAGAATTAAATGATTCGATAGATCTCATCCTGTTCCCAGTTACATTAGGAGAGAATACTCTTCTTTTTCGTGCAGCTGATTTGCCTCTTTGAAAATCTTGATGTTTTCTCAAATCAGGAAGTTTGCCTGAAGCATCTTTTTGCAACATATTTTGAGACATAAGATTACTATTTTCTTATAACCTCCGCTTATTATTTCATTAAGCTCCTACGGTAATCAGCTTTGGTGATGTTTGATTTATCACCACCATCTTTCCCTCTGACAATACTAATATTTGGCTGAACATTCAGAAAAATGCTATAAGGAGTATTCCCATTCATCAAAGTTGTATTTTTACTATGCCTCGACTTCTTCTGACGATCTGTGTTCTTTAGGTCTTCAATGTGGGTTTCCCAATTTCTAGCATCCTTTGTAGTAGGCGTCTTCACCGAAAGAAAACTTCCTCCGTTAGAATTTGGAAGCCCTAAAGGTCATACATTTTAATTACCAATATGGGGATCGCTTGCATCATCAAGTTGGTGAAAATTTATCTTTCCAGGAGAGCGAATACTTTCCTTTTTATTACGAATAGACTGTATTTTCTGGTTCTCCCTTGTCGATGTAAAAGCAGAGTTATTTGAGAATACAGTGTAACTCGAGCCCTGCTTCTCAAATTTAATTTTACTCTTTCTAAGCTTCTTCGGAGGTATTTTATTATGTAAAGAGCTTCGATCAGCAACAATGGGAGAGGTCGGGCCAGTTCTAGCAACTATCTTTTTAAATATCTTGTTTGTATGCTTTCTCATTTTATATAGAGTTTCAACATTGATTTAAATATTTGGGGTTTTGGGGTTTTGGGGTTTTGGGGTTTTGGGGTTTTGGGGTTTTGGGG